TGCCAGGGGCCCTGCAATAACCCCAGCTAGCTCCCTCAACACCCTGGGGTGGAGAGCATCCGGACCTGCTGACTTGAACGCGTCCAGCCCCTCCAGAAGCTCTCTAACCCGGTCCTCCCCAACCTGAGGTCTGAAGGCGATCCCCTCGAGTCCGGCTTCTATCACAGCAGGGAAGTCCCGGTCCCTGCACAAGAAAACGGAGGTGAAGAATTGGTTAAAGAGGTCCGCTTTTTCCTCTGACGCAACCACCAGATTGCCCAGCGTATCCTGCAGGGGTCCCACATTACCCGGCACCTTCTTCATCCTCCCAATAGGATGAGTTATTGCACATTCTCAGTAGGTTTTCCTTTCCTTTTTGTTTAAATAAACCTCAGATTTCCACATACATAAAATTCTAAACCAAAATGAATCAAGACTCTGAAGTCCAGTACTCAGATCAGAAAAAGTCGGAACCGTCTCTGCAACATAAACTCAGCCTTCCTGAGCATTTGTATTACGATAGTCTTTTTGGTTATGTCCTTATACTGTTTCTTCTCTGAGCCCCCTTGCCTCATACAGGTCACGAAATGGACCATGTTCACTGAATGAGCAGCTATTCAGTATTTTCCTTATTTAGTGTGTGACCTTCTGCACCCTATTCAAGCTCTGCTCTGAAGTTAGAATTAGTATTCTCTTAAGCTTTTTGGTGGTTATTGCTAATGGTGGGGAAATATTCAAATGCTGTGTGCTTGCTTTCACAACACGGCATGGAATGAGGGGGTTTCAAGTGTAGCATAGATAGGAACTGAGGCATGGGGATCAAGGCCAGAAGCATCTGCTAATTCTGGGTATGCAATTTGAGATGCATAGAACCTGACTCTTTCTCCCAGGGTGCTTAGCACTCCAGAATATTTCATGTTTTCGCAGCCCAGCTCCCATTTGACTTTAGTGGCAGCTGCAAGTGCCCAGCACTTCAGAAAACCACACGCCTGGGAGTCAAGTCGCGTGCCCTGAACATAAGGAAAAACACAGCTAGTGGCAACCCATAAAACCTGGTTTAAGTGACTTGTCCAGAACCACGTGAGAACTCTCGGGCAGAGGCATGATAAGAATCCCGTACCTCTCAGTACCCTTCAGCTGTCTTACTCGTGATGCTATCCTTTCTCTTCCCACAATTCACTGCTCCATTCACTGCATACCTTCCAGCAGCCCATGAATCTGGGTCCTATAGTCAGGCTTCTTCACAACACAAGATTGATTTCTTTTATGTTATCTGGCACATTGAGACAGCCTCCTGTGGAGAAAACAGTACCCCAGCATGTCATTAGTCTCTATTATACATGTAAGGGAGCCCATTTAGGATTGCATTGGGAAGACTGATTCCAATTCTGAGGGCGTGACTTTGCAAGCTGATGTTCCCTTACCATCCTCTTTGTGCAGTCTTTATAAGGAAGTGATTTTCATGTGAACAGACCATTTTAAAACAGTTTATTTGGTCATTGACAGAGTACTGATTTCAGAAAATGCAAAGCCTCCTTTGGCTGGAGAGCATGGCACTGCCTGTCCAACCAATGAGCCATGGGGAGTTTAGGACCTTCTTGGGCTATCCTGGCTCCTGTGTAGTCAGCCTTTCAAAAACTTACTGCAGGAAACTTCCATGGGCCGTACTTAGTCCAAAGTAAAGGTCAAGATGTTGCAGCAGGGACTTCAGGGTTCCCACTGGTTTCTGAAAACAAAACCCAAGTTTAGGAAGCCCAGAGTGTGGGGGGTTTTTTTTTTTGGTTTTTTTGTTTTGTTTTTTGGGTTTTTTTGTTTTGTTTTTTTTAAATCCTGCAGGAACTTTACAGTCATACCTGCTCAGAGCAAACCAGTTTCTTCCAAGCATGGAGAGGCAGCCAGGGGAATTCTTGAGGGAATCGTTGTAGTAACTATTCAGATCTTTGCATTTTGCTAGTAGGCCTGACCCAGGAAGGGCATGGGGAAACAAAACCCTTGTGAAAACGTACTTGGAAAGCTGTGTCTGTAGATTTAATGGTTATTGCACATTCTCTTTCTCAGCATTGTGAAGACAGACTGGATGGCAAAAGGAAAGAGAATGTTTGAGTTCAGGGAAGAAACCCAGGGGTAGATTCTCAGTAGGAAGGGAAGGGTGTACAAGGGACTAGCAGCCACTGCTATTGTTAGAACCAAAGATTAATTTAACTATAAACATCTTTAAAAACACTAGTGTTTAGAGAAGTAATTAATCTCTTACATGAATCTGTTACCAGCAAAAAACTTAAGTAGCTTGGATCATGTGTCAAGAAGCAGTAATAAATATCTTTCATACCATGTTCTCACTGCAGTATCCTCACTTCTTGAAACGAGAGGGCAACAAGCTTCAGATCATGCTGCAAAGGAGGAAGCGATACAAAAACCGAACCATCCTAGGCTACAAGACTTTAGCAGTGGGCTCCATTAATATGGCTGAGGTATGTACCAGACACAACTCAAGTGTTCATCCTTATGCAGTTAGTCCAATAAAAGATGTCACCCCAAAAAATCCTTGTCACTCTTAAGGTTACCAGTCATCTTTAGGAGTTTCATTTTTTCCAAGTGTATTATTGTTGGAGTTCAAAGGTGTTAAGGGCAGTAATATACAACAATAAATACTATCTATTCTCTGAAATTTATCTTAATAACCACAGTCCTATAACATTAGTTTATTACCTTCATAACCTTTAAGACTGCAGATCAGCACCAGTTAGTTTATCCAGATACAGAATTGTTTGCCTTACATTCAAGGCACATTTTAACTAAAGAATTGAATAACTTATAATTGTGAGATTTAAAGATTAAAAGATTAAAACATCCAGCCCACCAAATCAAGCTGTCCAAAGGGAGGAGATGCTAAGTGGTCTGTGCATTCCTAATTCTGTCCCTCTATTCTAGCCAAAGTTGTGGAAATCCGATTTAGGGACCATTGTGCATATGTGCAAACATAAGACATTTAGTTAATTTTTTTCATGGTGATTTATTTTAATATGATTTGAATAGTCATTGAAAATAAATGGCCAGTTATCTGGCTCTTAACTTTAAATCAGTAGTTGGGGTAGACTTATAGCATAGCTGTTTAGCTTCAGCTAACTCTTTTAAGTCCTAATTAATCTCTGCATCTGTGTACTTCTAAGTGCAGATAGCCTTGTAGAAGTGTGGCCTAATGGAAGGCTGCTGCGCTTCCCTTAGTATGGACATCCTCCAACAGACATCATTCCAGTAGAGAGCTCTTATTAGGATGAGTTCTGTAACACTACATTCATGCTAGGCTGTTGTGACTTCAAAACAAAGGATTTTTTATTAGTTAAATCTACAACAGCCTTTTATTTTCTGAGAACTAAGCTTGCAGACAAACCTGTGATGCTTCCATTTTTTAACTAGAGCGCATTCTGAATTCTAACATTTTTAGCTGATTGCTTGTCCTGCAATACATTCAGTTCATTGTTAAGAACTGAAAATGAAATGCCACTACAGGAAAAAATGAGCAGCGCTCAACCAGGTTAGTCAGCAGATATCTTAACAATAAGCATTCTCCGTTGAAATGTAATAGGTTTTCTCGCTACATTTTTGTAACATCCAGTAGAGGATGGAATGTAAATATTAAACATCTATAACATTCTTGCTAATGTTTCATCCAGATCTTATTTTGATCCCTTAACTGGAACACTTAACAGGCTATATTCAAAAAACTGGAAAAAAACAACAAAAACCCCCCCAGCCTTGCTGGTACCCCTTGCCCCCCACCCACAGCTCTGCTCCCCCAGCCTGGCTGGAGGGGGCCCTCAGCTGCCAAGGCTACAGACCCAGGTCCGCACCCCTTGCTGCCACTCCCCCCTGCTGCATGGCGGGGGGGTGGCTCTCTGCCGCAGTGCACACTCCTGAGGGGGGCAGAGGGGATCTGTGCACCCCAGTTCTGTGCACAGAGCAGGCGTGTGTGGGGTCCCGCCCTGCTGCCCTCCCCCAGGGCCTCTACAGCCTGGCAGGCACAACCCAGTGCAGTAGGGCAGAGCAGGGCTGTGTGGAGAAGCTGCTTGCCACTGCAAACTCCGTGCTGTGCAAACTCCGTGCTGCCCTAACAATGCGCCTCCTGGCTTGAGGAGTGCAACCCTGTGCTGCTGCCCTCACTGCAGCAGTGCGTGCAGGAGGCATGTTGCCAGGGCAGTGGCGAACTCCCAGCGGTGAGCAGCTTCTCTGCCTGGCCCTGCAGTGCCCTGTTGTGCTGGGTCATGTCTGCCAGGCTGCAGAGGTCCTGGGGGAGGACAGCAGTCCCAGTGCTTCCCAGCTCCCTCCCTGCAGCAGTCTCAATTCCGCACTTCTCCCCACTACTTACCTGTGGGAGCTGCTCTCAGGCTGCCTGGGGCCATGTGCATGTAGATGCACATGGCTCCCCTTGACTCACTGCCCTCTTCCTGCTCCCTCCCAGGTCCCTGCAGGCTGGAACTCTGCCAGCCTGCAGGGAGCGCGTTGCAAAACTGGAAAATCCGCGGGTTGTTCTGGTAAAACAAGAAATCCGTGTTTGCCTCCAGCAAAAGGTAAAATCCTCTGTTTACTCCATTTTTCCATGGGAAACAGAAAACCTGGATTCTTGGTGATAAGGAACAAGCCAGGGAGGTGCATAAGGAAAACTTGGAGGCCTAGAATGAGAACTTGAAGAATAGGGTGAGAAGTCTGAGGGAGGTGTGATCTAACTATGCTGAAGGAGGTGATGAAAGGAGGATGAGTACGGGGAAGAGCATTCCAATTAGCAGGACCATCAAAATGGCCTCATGCTTATATTGCGGTCTCATTACTTCTCCTCATTAGCACCTGCTATCACATGCGTGCTTGTTGGTTAGTTTTTTCTCATAGTTACCTGCAGAGTTTAAGCTGTCAAGACAAGGAGTATTGTTTTGGAAAGCACCTGGAGATTTTAATAGATAACTTGGCCAGGAGCAGTTTGCTGCTGGCGGTTGCTTGAGTTAGCTCATTTTATGTTGATACCTTCTTAATTGGGAATTCCTATGTTGAGAACTCGATTGCTAAAACCTAATAGTTAACACAGTAGGGATGATGTATTGAAGCTTGGTACCGGAGAATACATTTATCAGGGGTCAAGCACACCTCAGCAAACTTTCCTTTCCCTGCCATTCCTTGAGGTCATAGCCAAATGAAATTTGACTGTGCTGAGAGTTTGTCTGTCAATGGTCCTTTGAAACACAGTATTTGAATCTTCTTGCATGCTTGTAAATCCAGAACAGCTCTGTTTTTAAAGTAAGTCTGAATTTTTTCCATCTTTTTTCCACTAGCTTTTATGCTGGATTTTAATCCAAGTGTGTGTACATTCCTTCTAGGTTATGCAGCACCCTACTGAAGGAGGTCAGGTTCTGAGCCTTTTCAGTAACATCAAGGAAGCCACAGCCAAAGTAGCAGAGATATGGATTTTCTCACTGTCCAGTCAGCCCATAGACCATGAAGACAGCACTATGCAGGCCAGCCAGAAAATCAAGTCCACAGGTAAGGGTTTGCCTTCCTACTGGAATTCAGCCCCTTTCTACCTTCTACACCATTTTTTCCTTCTAACAGTTCCAACTTCTACCTTAGTCCTGCCGTGAAGGACCCCTAGGAAAACTGTATTTTTGTAATATAAATAAATGAGAGGGAAGACTTGGATCAGACCTGCCATGCCCCTGCCAACACCCTTTTCCCTTTGCTATCATGTTAAATGCCCTTCACTATCTTGGTCTTTGGGATGAGGACTGCTGGGTTTTGTTTGTAAAGCACTGGCTATAGTGAATCCCAGCTTCTGAGTGTGATCTGTGAGCACAGCAGAAACAATAATGGTCAACTTCTTGTATTTTTCTGCTAACCAAAATACAGACTTCAAGGACAACAAGGAAAGAGCAAAAAAAACCTGACCAGTCTTCTTTTAAGTGGTGGTATAGTCTGGAGAAACTTTGACAGAGCAGGTGGCCAGAGAAAAGAGACCCCAAATGGAGCACCTTGGGAGAGTCAGCTTTTTTCTGCTCTTCCATATTCACAAAGAGTGCAGATGCTCGCCTATCCAGGTTTTTGAGACCTTGGTCACCTCTGGTCTGAGTGTGTTCTTGTGTGGCACTCGAATAGACCTCTTTCCCCAAGGCAAGCATGTAAATTTTGGATGCATGGATAACAGGCTTTGGTAGGCTTTTGTAACTGGGACAGTACGTGTATAGTTCTGTTCCCGGAAAGTTATTTTTCATGTGAACTTGAGTGAAATTCCAGCTGGACTGAATGAGTTCTTCGGACAAGTCAGTACCAGTTTTTGCTAGTCCTATAGCTATAATTTATACCTGGTGAGAGAGTTCTGAGGCAGGAATGGGACTATAGGGTTACAGGACCAGGCCCTCGGTTTTAGATTCCCTGGTTTGTTGCACTATACACATTTTCCCATCGTGAAGGAATTGTAGAAACCCATTGTGGCGAGTCTGCTGGCGGTACCATCTATGATAGAGGCATTGAATTCTGAGCTTGCTACAATGTCTAAGTCGTATCTATTGACTCCTGTTCTCTACCTCTTTAATTGTGTTGTTTGGAACATATGTTACCACAAGCCAATAGCAGGCTTGCTGTAAATGATTCATAGATTGTTAGGGGCTGGAAAGGACCTCGCAAGATCGAGTCCAGCCCCTGATAAAAATATAAAGGAATTTTCTGCAGAAACAAAGTACAAACAGGAAGTGCACCCATCGGTTAAAAGAACCAGTAAACATAAATACAATGATAGACCATGTACTGACTCCTCTTCGCGAAGTTGTGGGGATGTGTGAGAACTTAAAGGAGTAGAGATCTACCAGGGAGTGATGTCACTCTTTAGTGTCCATGTTGCTGTTATGGGTAAATTATCTTGGGCAGGTGCACTGGAAATTCTCCATTAAGTTAAATGGACAAAGATACATTTCTGCTTTTCACTGGCCACTTATGAGTTCCCTTTTTTTTAAATAAGATGTGGAGGAGGATGGGAGACAAGAACTTTTTTTCATTTGCACAGATTTCACTGCATGATCTGTAGTCTGTGGCATCTGTCGTTGCTCCAGTTTACCTCACTTGCATAACTTTTAGTTAGTCATGCACAAAATAAGCTACTCTTTGTAAATAGGCTTACAGTAAGGTTCTACAGTAATTGATATAGGACAGCCTTTATAGATTTTGCATAAGATAATGTTCTGCTTTTGGTTATTATTGGTTATGAACTAGCTGTGTGAGCATACACCCTGGATGTTCAGTGAGTGCAGGAGATCTTAGTTTTCATACACATGTCTTCCTTTCACATGACATCTGCTGAGTGACAAGATAATCTTTTCATTCTGACCTCTAGATGAGAAGTGCAAGTTTGGAAAGCCAGGGCTTCCTGCTTGCAGAGATGTACCCTGGAGAATCCCCAGGGTGCATCTCTGTAAGAGGGGAAAGTTGGGTGGGTGCTTCCAGGCATTGCGTGGTCCTATACTGTGTGCGAGTTCCTGGAGCACACAGGATTGGGTCCCTTAAGGCATGGGAGCATCTGCCCAGGGCACCTGGAGCATTGTTTGCATTCTCACCCCATAAAGCAAACAAACACCTTCCTCAGTAAAGAAGCAGAAACTGTTACCACCTTCCCACCCCACAAATTTTGGGTATTTGAGGTGTGACAAGGCACAGAGACGTCTGTTTGCTTGGCTTTTGTGCCACTAAGAATTCTTATGGCAGCATAAAAGGTGATGTCTGTTTCCACCTGTTATCTCTTGCAGCTTCACTTTCATGAGCGTTTTCTTTCCTTTATAGGCACTGTCCGTCACCTTAGAGTAAGGGTGTCAAACATATGGCCACGAGTGGGATCCAGCCTGCAAAACCTCTGTCTGGCCCCCTGGGCTACCAGCAGGCCAGCAGAAGTTGCAGGGTGCAGCCTGCAGCAGAATCCAGGGCCCTTTGGCTCTGCTGAGCATGACCATCGGTGGCAATAGCTATGCCCCTGGACTCACTGCTGCCACCAGATGCCTTGCTGCCAGGGTGGCCATTGCAGCAGCCCTCACGCCCTGGGCTGGATCTGGCTGTAAGGAGACCTGTGGTATGATTTTGGCCTGGTGCCTCAGGCAAGCTTGATGCCACTGCCTTAGAACATTTATTATTTCCCCAATCTCTTGGAAGTTCTGGCCTTTTCTGTATAGTGTAGCAAAGTAGTCATCTCCTGAGACAGCTATGCTCTTTAACTTCAAGGATGCTAACCAGTGTGACTTAACATTTGTCCTCTGTACTCCAGAGAACTAAAGCCCTCCTGCTCCATTCTTTCTAAAGGGGATTTCACAAGGCTTTCTGCTCTTCCCTTACAGATAACTATTCTGAAGAAGAGTATGAGAGCTTCTCCTCTGAGCAAGAAGCTAGCGATGATGCTGTCCAGGGGCAGGTACTATATGAGGAGCTGCTGTGCAATGAATTTCCTTTTTTTGAGAAGGGCTTCAATACAACAGTGATAGAGAGGCCGTGCTTAAGTTTAAACTGTATACCTAAATGATTCAACAGTAACACCCAGCATTTGGCTCTGAAGGACAAGCCATCTGCAGTGGCAAGGCTAAAGCCAAAACATACAATACTGTGTTTTTCATATTGTGGCTTGTTGGAAGCCCTTATGAGTTCAACCTTTTTTTAAAAAAAACCCACCTGACTGGTATCCAATACAAAGAACTTACACAAATTTTCTTTCTCTTAGTAATTAATGGCACTTGCTGATCAACTTCAAAGCATATGATTAAAATAGTAAACGTATTAAAAAGAAAGGATTGAAGGAACCTTATAGGAGTGTAAACAGTTGTATCCTAACAGCTTATATCATTATTATTCCAAATCAGTATAAATGAATCTGTCCATACCCTCATCGCTAGGATGAATGGGGTGAATTTATACTTCCCAGGGCTCCTGTTCTTAGCTCTGTGCAAACCCAGTTCCCTATTTTAGAGACATTCTTTGCCATCTGTAGCAGCCAGAGCCTGTCTCAAGTGAACATTGAGAATACAAAGAAAGAGAGTAGTTTTGGGGAAGCACTAGCATAGCATAGTGACACGTACCAGCTGTTTGAGCTCTGGCGGGCAAGTAACATATTGCATCCCTAGGGCTGAATGTTCTGACTCAGCTCTTTCTCATTCCTGAATGAGTGCAACCCCAGTCTCTGGCCTGTTCCCTCTGTTCTGAGCCCAAGGTTACGCATGTTTCCTCTACAGCACTTCCAGTCCCTACTGACAAGACCTAAAAGTACACAGTCTGAGCTGTACTCTCCCCACTCCTGCCGTATATGGTCACATACTGTTAAACTCCCTGATGCATAAAATGCTGTATAAAGGAAGCATTGTGCAAAACAGCTCTTGTGTTTTCCTGAGGCAGGTGTAAAGACCAGACTTTCTTTTCCTGTTCAGGATTTGGACGATGATGAATATGAGCTGGGGAAGCCAAAGAAGCAGCGGAGATCGATAGTAAGAACGACGTCCATAACCAGGGTCGGTGGAAATTAGTTTTACTAACACTGTGAAGGGGTTTTGGCCAGGATGTGCATGCCTTCCAGGGAGCTACAGAGCTAGATCTACAGTGAGGCCAATGGCAAGATCAGAATTGTTTGTGCAAGGTGGGGAATCCTTAAAAGGAAGTGAGCCAAGAACCCACCAAATTATTGTGGGATTGGGTGGGGAGGGTGACCTTAGCTATACGTGCATGTTTGCTACCTCTAAGAGGTAGCTACCTCTAAGAACTTGAGTGAAAAGCACCCATGAATCCCATGTGCGTACAAGGCCTCACTTGTAGCCTTCAGTGGAGCAGAGACTTTGTTGGCCTTTCTGCCCAGGGTTGAATTGTATTCCTAGAAGAGGGTTTCAGAGTGGACCAGGCAAATCAAACATGGGACAAGAGATGGGCCCAATTAATAAAAGAGACCAACATTTATGGAAGTGTGCCTGTTCAGTCCAGATCGAAGAAATCTGCCTATGATGTTGGATTGTTCGGTAAATAATTGGCAGTACCAGACTATCATTAACCGCTTGTTTGGGCACCCTTCACTTCAGCATGGAACCAGAACTTCTGCCTTGGATTGTTCATTACCTGTGCAGTTTTGATGTTGCCTGAACATATCTTGAGTATTATTGTAAGCAAAATAAAGTTATTAGTAACTTCAGCCACCTCTGCTGCAGAAACCATGGAATAAATTGGATTGACCACTAAACCTACTCTTGGTTGAAAAAAAATCTACCTTTGTTACTAAAGTTTCTAACATCCACAGTTCCTGAGGACATCTGGAATCAGGCCTAATATGGCTGGAATTTGCCATCCAAAGACAGTCCCTTAAATGTGGATCAGAAAAATGACAATTTTTAGGATCTTTTGAGAATCTGTGGCTGACCAGGACAACATACAAGTCCCTGAACACTGGAATATGCAGCTTTCTTTGGTTTTCACAAGAAAACAAGTTGTCTCTAGCTTTGGCAGCTAAGCATACCTGGAAACCTGCAATGCCTCGACTGATAGAAAAAGTAGCTTCCTTGAGTTTTTCTGTTGACTCTTTTCTGTAAGGGAGCATCCTTACCTCTGGTAAAACTAAGACAAACTACTTCAGTGGTAGAGGGATACTTGAGGAGGTGGGGGAGGGAGGGCAAGGAAAGGAAAAGGTGGGAAAAGAAGGAAAGAAGTTTCAAGCTGCTTTTCACAAGCGCCCAAAATACACAGACGTAAAAAGCAGGGAGTGGAATTATGAGCTTGGGATTTGCCATTTGGAGTTACAGGCCAAGCTGTTTGTGACCGAGATGGTCTTCTGTAGAGTTATGCCAGTGAACAGCCTGTATCAAGGCTCTTCCTTTGCTCGTGTTCTGTCCTTATGCAACTCTGAGCGTGTAGTCGAAAAAAGACAGCCTGCATTTTCTGAGTCTTGGTAAGCATTCACTGTTTTGAGGAGGACTATATAAGGCTTCCAACAGAAATTAAGCAAAACTCAGCTCTTGGAGTTTTACTAATTTGAGTCAGCAGCGCGTGTATAGGAGGAGGTTGGACTGGATGTCTTGTGGAGGTCCCTCTGGCCCTACTTTTTTTATGATTCTATGAACTCTGACATTGAAGCCCAGCCAAACCAAAAAACATCTTTCAGTCCCTCCAAGTTTGCTACAGCTCTGCTTGTAAAGCTGTAATGAACTACAGATCCTTGCTATGGAAATGACTTTCTAGTCATCCACTTGAGAGGGAGAGGAAAGGGGGAGCCTCCCTCAATTAAGACTTAGTGTAAAGAAATAACTGATTACTGGGAGAAAGCATTGTTCCCTTATATCAGTACTCTGGAACCAGGCAAAACTTCTTCATTGGCTTATGTAGGTACATAAGAAGGCAGAAGAAGGGCCTGCTGTATCTAGCTGATAAGTTTATAGTTAGTCAGCTTGTGACTAACTGGCAGGCTAAAATTTGGGGCGTTCCACTAAATATGTAAACACAAGGCTGGCCAAGTGCATTTGGGAGCCAGATGAGCTATAAGGGCTGGGACTAAGCTGGTGCAAGCCCAGGATGTTGTGTCCCCTTATTTAGAATGGGATCCGGCTCTGTTTGATAAACAGCATACGGGTTACAAGGAAAAGCAGCAGTACTCCTTGGTTTGGGGTGTAGTTCAACCGCTCAGAGGGTGTTGCTTTGGTACAGCTGCTTTAAATGTCGTGGTGCTGCTGGCCACCAACAGGGGATTTTATTTATTTACTCATGCCATATTCACATAGAAGTGTTTTTTGACTTACAGCAACAAAACTTCAAACAGAAAGTGGTGGCATTGCTGAGAAGGTTCAAAGTGTCTGATGAAGTAAGTGAGGAAATGCACATTTACACTGCAGGGTTTTTAAACTGCTTTTGATGGGATTTTGCTTAATTGGCTTATTTCCTGTATTTTTTTTAATTTCCTCTCTCTTTTTTTTTTCTTGCTTCTATTTTTGTTTTCAATCATGCAATTGGAAGTGTCCCAAGATTGCAAGAGACCTTGGCCTAAATGCTATTGTTCTACTTGGTTCCTGTATATGGCTGCCTAGGGACTAATTTTTAAAATGCCATCAAAAGTGACATAGAACTGACATGCAATTTTGCTAACAGATCTCAGCAAACACTTTATGCTAAGTGCAGACATTTGGGGAGGTTCAATCAGGTTCAAATTGGGTTCAAAGTGGCTGCCAATTTAAACTTAGCTCGTCTCAGTGCTGATCTTACACTTACAGACCCAATCTCAGTGCCTGGCAATCTGTCTAAACCTGCAACTGTGTAGAGATTCAATCCACACAAACCAGTTTAAAAATTGTAGAACATGGTTTAAGATGAACCTGGATCTTTGTAGTATCAGATTAATTAGATTTAGGTTAATCTGGTGCATGGAACTTCTGGCCACTTCCCCTGTGCAACCCCCAGGGCTGGGAAAACCCAGCCACTGGCCCCAGCCCCGGGGCTGCTCTTTTCACTCCTTCCGCCATGCATTGGTCTGCTTTTGGGGGTTTTTTTTGGCCTGCTCCCCATCCCCCAGTTAGCCCTCTCAACCCCAATCATACAAGTCACTCTGGGTACAGCTGCTTTTATCAATGTTTGCTGCTGTTGGAGCCGAGCAGGTAAGTCCCAGTGGCGGGAGGAGAGGGAGTGTAGGTTTGCTGGGGGGCGACCCCACCCAACTCTTCCCTGTACCCCCCCCAGTTCATACCTGTTCCCGATCCCCTGGCAGACTGCCGATCCCCTCCAGCTTGCTAAACCCCCAACTGCCTCAGTAGCCTGTCCCATCTTGATTAAGTCTGGTTGCAGCTTGTTTTCTTCATACTATAAAAGTTGAATGGACTATGCAGAGTTTTCATGGAATCATCTACCAAATATGTATATAATGAAAAATGCGACCATTTGAAGAAGAATACAGAAGACTAAGAAACTTACTTACTGTGGAAAAAAGGCAGATGCAACACAGCAGCTTGGACTGTACAGTTGCTCTTAGGAAGAGGCCAAATAAAGCAAGTACCCTTCTAAGGACCTTATTTTAACAAGTGCTGTCCATTCCTTTTGGTCCTGCATGTGAAAGGAAGTTCATGAGTTTGTGTTAGATCCTTGTCCAGGTGCTCTTTATTTAAAAAATCCTTGTTTGGATGTAGCCCATAATTTTTTCTTCACCAGTTTGCAGGTAAAACAGTGAACTTAGTCAGAAGGAGCTGCAGTCATTTGGTGAAGGTTGGGTTATGCTCTTGAGAGCACAGAGTGCATACATGTTCCGCTTCTGATAGTGGGACCCACTTTCAAATATTCTGTTATGTTTATAAACATAGTGAACTGATATTGTAATAAATTATAACATTTTCTATGCATCTTTAAGCTCTCAGGTAAATCAGTTCCTTAACCATATACAGTACTTTTTACCAACCATGCTTAACCATTTACTGAATGCATTGCTCATTTTTTTTAACGTATTTAAAATTGGCATTAATCTCTACAAACTAAAAAAAGAACCCACGTACAGAGCATGGCCCCAGAATTGGTCTGTGAAAGGTGCCTGACTTTGATCATCATCCAGAAATACCAACCTGGTGCACTGCAGTACCTGTGTGAATAAAGGTGTGGAATCAGTTTTCTAGCTATTAAAGCAATGCCTTTTTTCATCCGTATGTTCTATGTTTAGGTTCTGGATTCAGAGCAGGACCCAGCAGAGCACATCCCAGAAGTTGAGGAAGACTTGGACCTTCTGTATGATACATTGGATATTGAAAACCCCAGTGACAGTGGTCCTGAAATGGAAGATGATGATAGCGTCCTCAGCACTCCAAAACCAAAGTTAAAGTAAGGATGTGGGGGTGGTGGATGTCTAGTAAAAATTTGGTATAGCTTTCCTATACCAAAGGAAAATCAATTGGTCCAGAGAATGAGCAGTTTAAATGCTTTGCAGCATCCACTTCCTGTCAAGCATTTGGAATCTGAGAGAAAAGAAAGGGAGGGATAGGGATTCAACCCACTTCTGTATAGCTTATAGCTGCAGGTCACATGTGTGCCATTCATACTTCTATCTTTTCCTCCTTGATGTGACAATAGGGAACAGCACTCATTGTAATCACAGCTTGAATGACTTGAATAGAGGAGAGTTATATGTCTTATGCCTGACAGCCCTTCTCTCCCTAGAGCCTATTAAATGCTCTTTCAGGTCTTTTCCATAATGTGCCAAATGCAGTATGGATCTACATTGTCTGTTTAGACTTTTGCCTGTCATGCCAAAATATCTACTGACAATAAGGGGAACCAAGAGCCATATAAACACATCACTTCCCCCTGCATGGAAAGAGGAAGAGAGTGCCACTAAATAGTGGCAGATTTGATCTCAGGGAGGAGAGGGGCTAAGGCACATGTCAGTTTTTCTTCAAAACAGCGGAGAGACCTTATCTAGAAGGAAAGTTTTCAACAGGAGATCAAAGGCAGGCAATGAGCAAATGGTATTGTCGAAAGCAATGTGGCAGAAGCATTTAGTAAACAGTGAAAAAGATGCGACTAGCTTATGAAGATGGACTCCTGGTAGCTTTTTGAACTAGGTAGCTTGTGTCAAATGCTGTTTTCCTGAAAGCAAATCAGAGTTGGGGGTGGTAAATGACTTGACTGCTTATAGTGAAATGCAGATCATTTAATAATCTGGAGCAGCTGGATATTCATCTGTAATATAATCAAATTACTAGGTTTTGCATTTTGAAACCTAAACCCTTAAAGATTGGGGCACTGAATCATGGAAACATGACTCTAGAAAGGATGATGGGGCAGTGGTAGATGCCTTGAGTTCTTGTGCTTAGTTGAGTGGTGCGGTGATTTAAGAAACCAGTTTTGTCGTAGGATATGAATAGTGAAATATTGTTTAAATCAGGAGTAGGCATGCAGAGGCATTTTGCTTGGCACATGTGCCTTGGAGCTGGGGCTGCACTGCCATAACAAGGATCAGGCTTCTTGTGGCTCCCCCCACCATCCATCCCTAGTATGCTAAAGTTTTACAAGTTGAGGATGCAGGTGTTTTTGACACTACCCAAAATGTTGCCAACACTTGGTTTAAGCGGAAGAAGATACTGTGTCTACATGAAGTGTTTGGAGACCACTTTTTCAGTATTGTTCATACCAGAACTGGAAACCTGCCTTTAAAAGGATGTAAAAACTTAGTATATGTCTAGAGCTGACTTTTGCAGGAAATATCCCTCAAGTAAAACTAAAATAGCTCAGTCCCAGAAACCATCACTGCATCTCATCTTAATGTTTTGGTAAACCAAATTTCTACTTGGGGAGAATATTTGATGAGAGGGTCCCTTTTTAACACACTAAAGGCACATGGGAAGCAATGGCTGGAAACCAGGAGAGATAAAGTGCTTTTTTTTTTTTTTTTTAACACCAAAGATAATTTTAACTATCAAAGCAGATTACTGAATATTGTGACTCATTCACAAGTGATGGAGCTTGATGCAGGCCTAAAGCATGAAGTTCTGTCATTGGGTCCTCGCAGGGGGTCAAACCAGAAGAATTTTATAGAAAGTGGAAAAACATCATGATTTAAAAAAAATCTTTTGTCAAGTTCAAATGCATTTTTAATTTGTTAGTCATTTGGAAGAAAATGTTAAACCAGTGACCTCTTCTCAAAATTTAATCAATTCAGAAGCTTCTCTTATATAAGATCTCAAGGCAAGCTTCTTTAACTGTTTAGGTCATGCATTAAAGATATGTCACCTTGTCGCGTACTACATTACATATCTGTATCTCTTTTTTAATAGAGTAATGCTGGCATATATTTGTCAGAACATCTTTATTCCTGGTTCTGTTGTGCCAAAGGGTTTTGCATTAATTTAGCTTTGGTTTTAGGTTGGCAGAAATGCTTGGTTTACTTCTGTGGTGGATTTGTCAACCATCTGGTGTCTTTCAGAGTGTAGCTTCTAGGGCAGACTTAAAAAAGTAATGCTGTGGGAGAATACAGTAGGTTCCCATTAAAAACTGCCATGTTCTTTCAGATAACACTGCCCTTGAATGCAGATGTATCCACTCTTTCTAACTGTAAGAAAAAAAAATGAACAGACACATCTGTGAAGCATATAAAAGTTTTTTAACTCAGATTTAAAATTCAAGCAAACCATTCTTAGAAGAAGCATTTAATGTCTGAATGTGTCTATTTGTGCTCTTAAAAATTCCAATTTTCATTCAAGGATTTCTGACTTACTAAATGATTAACCAGGATTTATATACCCTGTTATAAGAGTGAAAAAGGCTAGAAATCAAGAATCTGAATAAATCTTGATTTAAGCTGTAGCAATGCATTTATGTGCGTAGTTACAGCTTCTCTGCTTGGTTCACGGAAATGACAGAACCTTGTATAAAAGCTGTAGGCATATATAACCTATCCACTTGCCATGTTCTAACCATCATGCTAAACAGCAAGAATGAACTTTTAGTTACTTACCCAAAGTTTGTATGAAAAAAAATTTTTTAAATTTATTTCAATTTGGTGATTGTATGTATGGGATCATGATTGAAGCTCGTGATCTTAAATGAATATATCTCATTGTGATAGTTCCTGCTTGCCTTAACATCTCTTATATCTGCAGTAGAGCAAAGTCTCTGCCCTTTTTAGACTGTCTCCAGGAGGAACCAGAGTTTCAGGCACAGGATTGGGAGAAGCATAAAGGAGCAGGAGAGAAGAGTAGTGAGAACGGAGGGAATTTGCACTGCAGTGGAGCATAGAAATACCTGGCTAGTTTTAGTAGTAGTTCATATGATAGTAGTCTAGCCAGAGCAGCATGTTACTTGGTGCAGGCTGACTTGACCTAGCTCTCAGCGTGGCTTTGGGACACCAAAGTAAGAGAGGAAAGAGACTTTCCAAGAATAAGGTATAGGGGGGAGAGGGAATAAGAGTCAGAGTTCTCTTGGAGGGAAAAGACGTTTAGGAGTATCCAGGTAAAGGAGTGTAGTGGTCACAACCATGTAGTACAAACCTCAGAGGAAGAAGGAGAGGACTTGTGAGTTACAAGGAAGGAAAAGAGGCAGTTTCTCCATATCCTTCCCTCCCCACCCTTTCCCCCACCAAAGGTCACACACTCTTCCTGGTAAATAATTCAGGGTGGGAAGGAGAATGCCAGAGAGAAGCATGGTTAAGGATCTATAGGTTTGCTAAGCACGCACTGAGAATGGAGGCTGGGGCAGGTAGCAGTGAGCTGCGATTACCTTGATAGAGGGAGAAGAGGATCCTGAGGGAAGTTTCAGTAGGAACAAACATGACAGATTGTCTTTGAGGAGGATTTGGAACAGAGTGAATTCGGGGAGGGCTGATGTCACTAACATGGCCTGTTGCAAGGTGAAGACTGGGGTGGGCATGTAAGAAGAGGGAAGGAAGGAGAGGATAGAGCTGGCTTTTTCTACCCCCATGCTTTGTAAATAAGCACCCATTGTAAGAACAGCCCTATTAGGTCCTGCAATGGCTCAGTGACAGGGTAAGGGGAAAAATCATGTTTTCTGACTCCCGTTCCTAGTAATCTTTCTTTTCCATGATCCCATCAACCCAAATGGGAAGTGCTAACAAACCCCACTTAAACCCATGAGGCCATCCAAAAACTGAGTGCAGAATCAAGTCATGCAAAGGCAGTCCTGGCCACAAACATCTCAAAAGTGCATCACCATGTTTTCTGCTCATTTTGTTTTAGACCTTACTTTGAAGGCCTGTCTCA